CTAGGAAACGTTCCGAGTTTCCACTCTTGATAGCGATAATAATCCTGACCTGGAGCTGCTATCCTCACGGATCCGACTTCCACGCGGAGTGTTACTCCTCTTGCCAGTGCTGGGAAACCACTCCTCGTCTCCTTCTGTCGAGATTTCCCGTAATATCGCGGCAATGAGAGGGACGCTTTGACGTCGCGTCGCGAACAAATTATACGAAGGGTATTTCCGAGGTGCGAATTTCGTTTCTCAAATCTTTGCTAACGAGCAAGGAAACGAGCGAGGTAAAGTTTTGCAAAATTTAAAAAGCTTGCTATAGAATATTATTCAGAAATACATTTTTCGTACTACTTCTATTTCTCAAATTATGATACAAAATTAAATATACATATACAATTTTTTTTGACATCGTTACGAGAGTAATCAAATCTGTTTGATTTAAAGTTATTTTAACCTCCTTTATTTCCGGATATAAAGTTACACCGCGGTCTTAATCTTCGTGCGAACCTTCTCGCGGCACCTGCATCAGTTGCCAAGCGCTCGTCCTCAGCAGTTTTCATCGCCGTCGTCGTTTGCTGACTCGACTAGAAGCTATGGGCCGAGAGATCTAAAGGGGGATCGTCTTAACCTTCTTATATTGCGTATCGTTGACACACTCGGTAAGCGACTTTGGCCGAAGTAAGCAGTCGCCACAAGGAGAATTTGCGATCGATGTAGGTGCAAGTGTGCCGAGCTCGTAAGACAGTATCGTCAGTTTCGCAACGTCGAAGCTCTACAACTACGATATCCCATTCGCCGTCCGAATACAATTCGTAGTGATGTTCATAATAACAGTTTCGAGTGGCTGCTACACAATGGAGAGAGGAAGAGCGAAGATTTCCTTCCAAGAAAAGCTAATCTTACCACAATATCTATATCGCGATGTGAAATAATCCGCGAAACGATTACGTTTCCTGAGCTTGTCTATCCGCTGCGAAATCGAGTGCGCGGTCGATTTTCAAGCGGCGAATCCACAGTGGCTTGTTCGGTTCGATCCATCTGGCATAGCTAGTGGGATTTAAGAGAAGAGAGTAAACTAAGACGGGTGGCATTCCGGAATCCTGCTAAGGATTTGCCGCACGTACCCCGACAACGTCGCAGATCCGTGGAAGTTTCTCCGTGGGCTGTGTGCGAGGGGGAAGGCTCGGAGATGGAGGGGTGGCTGGAATGCTGATTAGTCGGCGCTCGTGAACCGTAACACTATAACCTACCCTCGACGGCTTGGGTAACCGGGCGGTAAGAC